AGAGAGAGAGAGAGAGAGAGAGAGAGAGAGAGAGAGAGAGAGAGAGAGAGAGAGAGAGGTAGAGGTCGCACAGGGCAGGTCACGAGGGGTAGGCACTTCCGCCAGTGCAGGTAGCTCGCGTAGGGCGGGGATGTCTGACAGTGCAGGTCGATCGCGTAGGGTAGGCCGCTCAGGGTAGGTCGTGCAGGGCAGGTTCGTCTGGTAGTGCTGGTAGGTTGCATAGGGTAGTCCATGTAGACCGCATAGGTTAGGTACATCCAGTAGTTCAGGTAGGTCATGTACGTGAGAAGCTAGGTCGTGTATTTCGGCCGGCCCGACTTTCTTTTTTTTCTTTTTCTTTTTGGGCCACCTGACATTTCAAGGCCATGAAAACAGCACAGGTCTCAGTTCTGTTTTTTCCCAAGCTCAACAGCACCGATCCCCTGACACCAGAAACAGCATCGCCGCATCACTCCGCCACACAACACTGCACATGCATCCAGCCCTGTCTCTGAACCACATGCATGGAAAACGGGCTACTCGCCAAAACACAACCAACAGCATCTCCATGCATGGAAAACGGGCTACTCGCCAGAACGCAACCAATGGCATGACTCCACTACACAACGCCGCACATGCACCCGGCCATATCCATGCATGGACAACGGGCCACTCGCCAGAACCCTTCAGTTTTTCTTCTTTTTTTTTTTCCCCAAGCTCAGCAGCGCCGATCCCCTGACATGACGAACGGCACCACACATGCATCCGGTCCTATCTCTGGACCACATGCATGGAAAACGGGCTACTCGCCAGAATGCAACCACCGGCATCACTCCACTACACAACACCGCACATGCATCCGGCCCTATCTCTGGACCACATGCCAGAACGCACCTGCCGCAGAGTGTCCAAATGCATGCATCTACAGTGCCGTGCCGCTCTAAAAACCCGCAAATCACGCCCAAACCATTCGATCGTGGCGAAAACAACGACGCCAACGCGAGACAAAGACAAAGGAAGAGCAAAGAGAGCACACACACGTCAATACGACAGCACCCCAAAAAACCGACGCGTCGCAAAAGTAGATCTCGCAAAACTGTTAGGAATTCGGGTTTTCCGGCAACACCAGCCACAAAGATCAACATCCTATGTGGCCAAAACACCAAAGAAAAGAACCGTCTCGGCGTGTAGTGTTATGCCCGTGGCCCACTAAGCTATGGTAGTATGCTGTTGATGATGATGCCAGCCAAATGAAACTGTGAGTGGCAAGGGTTCATAATACTTCATATGGAACCATACCGCAATGATTGGTATGGAATCAGAGCGGTGGGTGACTGTTGACTAATGGATTTCAGAGCCCAACACAAATCCTTGGTGGACACAGTTAAGACGTCGGGGAATGTGCAGACAAAAATAAAAACAACACAAAATGTTGACGGTGTTCCTTCTCTCGCTAGAAAGGACAACAAAAACATCCTTGGGGGACTCCGCAATGATTGCAACACAGTGGATCACACATTTCAATGAGGTTGGAAGACCTGGATTACGTCACATTCTACTGCTCTTGTTCTTTCATAGAAAATTGGTCATAATCAGGTGTCGCCAGCGGACAATTATCAAGACATTCAAAATAGTCATCTCCAAAGTTCCGCCAAACACGGAACTCGGCACACATAGACCCTGACCAAAAATAGAACAGGGCAGAAGAAAAAAACAGAAGAAAATAACTGAAAAAAATAATCCCCAAATGCCCTATTCAGTGCTTGGGGGGGTTAACCTATGGGCTGAAAAGTGGGGGTCCCTGTTAACCACTTGTGCAATAACCTCCACTTCATCAGGTCAATGGGTATCCTCCTCCACCTTTTTCTCCTTTGTGAAAAGATTTGAAAGCAAGGGGCCTGATCTGAAGCAGCACGACAGGATTTTTTTTTTTTTTTTTTTTTTTTCAGACTTGCACATTCTTCCATGAGGGCCTGAACACACTGCTGCTTTTTCAGGCCAACTTGAGATATGCAAACCTTTTACTTTTTTTTTTTCTCAATGTATGTGTGTCGTCCATGCGCAAGGCCCATGCTAATCTTCTCTATATCGTTCCAATTTTAACGGATGTCCTGTGCTGACTATGAGGTTAACGGGGATATCCTCCTCCACCTGTCCTGTTTGTGAAAAGGAGCAACGCACCTGACGGGAAGCAGCGTGGAAAGGTGTTTCAGCCTTGCGCATCCTTGCACTGTCAGGAACTCGTTCTCCGATCACGACCTTCGCCACCTTTTATCAGCTTCAACACATCTCCAACCAAGTGGATCGACCCTGTCACACACACGACCCCCATGCTGCTTTCAGATGTACTCCCTAGATTGTCGTCGGAAGTGCTGGCCACCAAATTTCCTAGACTGGCCAGAGGACTCTCTAAACTAGCCATGGAAGGACTTGCTGAACCACTCCCACAGGAACTTCTCAGGTTCAGGTCCGTCGCAGAATGAGAAGTTTGCGCACTTCTCCGCGAAATAGTCTCTGAGGGTGTTTCCGCAAGTAATGCTCTCGCCAGTTCTAACGCTTGCCACACGGTGCGTTTTTCGAAGATCTGAACTTGCCTCCAACCACGTGATGGGTCCGATGCAACACCTGCTCCGATTCCGTTCTCCTGGCCCTGGACTTGTTCTAATCCTCCTCTTCCTCCTCCTTGTCGACTTGGTCTCATTCTCGCCTTGGCAGGATCTGCAGCTCCTTCCACACCACCGTCTGGGATACCCTGTGTGACACCTTTCGTGGGCAATGCAGCATCTTTGGCTCCTTCAGATACCTGCACGACACCCTGTGGAAGACTTCTCACGATGGCCTCGGCTGTCGCTTGTGCACGGTCAATGCTGTTTGTCGCCGAAAGAGCATGAAACGCCTGCCTCCACAATTCCAGAAGCTTCACCGATGGCATGGTCCTGTGAAAGCTGCCAAGAACTTGCGCCTCCGTGAGTATGACTGCGACTGGTTGACATCGTTGGAGTATACTGTGTGCGAAAGCTGAATGATCCTTGTCTTTTGCCATTCCCACAAGGAAGATGAGCTTCTTTGACGGAAATTGTTCCTGCATCAGAGTCGCAAGAGCTCGTGCTGAAGCTGGAGTGTGCGCTGTTTGACACCAGAAAAGAAAAGAAAAAAACGACAGAAGGACAAAAAGACGTGCACATTAATGCTGTGCAATCAGAGGCCAAATCAAACAAACCGAAATACTTCACAGTTAAAGATCCTTCCCACAAAGAGGCAACCTGAGTGGAACCAGTGCACACTTCCTCAAAGGTGGTCATACCATTATATACTGCCTTTTTGAAAAGTCTAGAAGCCTTGTCCACACTGTAAACTTGTAGACCATTTACTGGGTATCTGTCAGGAGATGGTCCATTTTCCCCAGTCGTCAAGAAGAGTGGCACATATATAACAAAATTGTCAAAAGTCTAGGCCATCGGCTGGGATGTCCAGGACCGTACCCAGACTGTCCACGTTCCCCAGGGCGGGCAACCATCGGGACATTGCGAAGAGACCTGGGCCCAGTGCAAAACAGTGCCCGGCCCTCATTTTGTCCCTGCTAGGGCCAAGTGGAGAGGAAGGGTCCGGCAGGCAGCGACAGACACCGTAAAGGCCCGGCTGGACCCTGGACTGCAACAAAAGAAGAACCCGATTTTGGTCTCTCGAGCTTGCATATCGCATGGCCCAGATTGGAACTTTCCGAATCTGGTGTTATGCCTGCAAGAAACACTTCAAGGTGGTTAGGATCAACCACTTCAAAGCTTGAAGCAGACGATCACCACTACCCACCATCCCCGTCCCTGTGCTCATCTCCCTGCCAGCCATGCCCGTTACAACGTCTGTGAAGAGAGGGTCCTTTTAAATCTGTAAGAGGTTCAAACAGGTGAGTTGGGTTGTCTAGGCCCTCCGCTCTTTGATGTGTGTGTCAAATTCGATACATATATGTCTCAGATCTCCCTCCTCCACTTTCTTCTTCCTCCTCTTCCTTCTCTTCCTCCTCTTCATTTTTTCCCTCCTCTTCTCTGTCCGCTGCTTCCTCGTCTTCCACGTCTTCCTTCAAATCGTCTTCCTTCTCCTCTCCTTCCTCTTCACCCTCCTTTCCTCCAGTTTGTATTGATTCAACTCCTCCAGTTTCTACTTTCCTTCCTCCTCTTCCGCCTCTTCTTCATCCTGTTCTTCCTCCTCTTCCTTGCCCTCGTTGTCCTCCTCCTCTCCTTCAGCTTGAATCGATCCTCCTCCATTTTCTCTTTTTCCTCAACTCCTTCCTCTTCTCCCCCCTTTCCTCCAGTTTGTACTGATTCAACTCCTCCAATTTCTCCTTTCCTTCCTCTTCTTCCTCCTTTGCTCCTCTCCTTCCTCTTCTTCCTCCTTTGCTCCTCTCCTTCCTCTTCTTCCTCCTTTCCTTCCTCCTCTTCATCTCTTTCCTCTTCTTCGTCCTCTTCTTTCTCCTCTTCCTTGCCCTCCTCATCTTCCTCCTCCTCTCATTCCTCTTCTCCCTCCTCTCCTCCAAACTTGGATTGGTTCTCCTCCATCCTTTTCCTGCTCTTCCTCCTCTCCTTCCTCTCCTCCCTCTTCTTCTTCCTCCAGTTCTTCCTCCTCTCCTTCCTCTTCCTCCACTTCCTCTTCTCCGTCCTCGTCTTCTTTTTCCTCTGCTTCCCCTTCTCCCTCACCTCCTCCAGATTTTAATGATCCTCCTCCTCTGCCAGGCCGATATTCTGCACCCTTCTGTTTGTCTCCCTTGTCCTCCTGGAGAGAGAGAGAGAGAGAGAGAGAGAGAGAGAGAGAGAGAGAGAGAGAGAGAGAGAGAGAGAGAGAGAGAGAGAGAGAGAGAGCACCAGGATAATGGACGATGGATGATGGATGATGGATGATGGATGAAGGATGAAGGATGAAGGATGAGGATGGATAAATGATGGTGGATGCATGGATAGATGAATGAATGATGGATGATGATGATGGATGCATGGATGATGATGGATGATGATGGATGACGATGGATGATGATGGATGATGATGGATGATGATGGATGAATCATGGTGGATGGTNGATGATGATGGATGATGATGGATGAATCATGGTGGATGGTGGATGGTGGATGGTGGATGATGGATGCATGGATGATGATGGATGATGATGGATGATGGATGCATGGATGATGCGTGGATGGAGGGATGGCCAAGCAAAAATTGAAAAAGGGGGATCAGATCTGGCCACCAAAAATAAACAAAGACAGTGATCGGTGATATCCTGCCCCCTGCGATGTACATATGATAGTTGTCGCAAAAGTTGAAAAAATTACAGAAAAGGAGGTTCTTGGAACCTTCCTGTCATGTGCAGCCAGGATTTGCCGTCGGATCTGCACCACAACCTCCACATTTCTTGAAAACAGGTTTCGGAGATCCTGGGCAAACTGGCCACACCACAAAAGTCCTCATAAAATATTTGTTTGGCCAGCTTTACGACTGAGACTGAACTTAGGGACCACACCACATCCGACAGGAAGAAACAAACTTTTCTGTTAAGGCTTTGCAACTTCCTTTTCAATGAAGATCCTAGCCAAGGGGACAAAGAGAAACGTTCTTAGGAAGAAACAAAACAAAACATAACCAAACCCAAACCAAACCAAACTAAAACAAAACAAAACAAAGCAAAACAAAAAACTGTGATGTCGTGAACCAAGACCGTTGTGCAGCGAAGAAGTTGCTCCTGCGAGCCTTTCGCTGCTGAGCTTGTCGAAGATAGTGATTGCTTTCTCACAGCATTCCGGGGCTGAGAAGCCACCACCACCTGCAACACGCATCATCAAGGAAGCTTGACATGGCTGGTAACAATGCAAGGCTGCATGTCTGTATATCTGTGCATGTGATGTTTCCATCCACTGCGTGAGAGGAGAGGGGTTGTGTGCCTGTGCATATACTATGGCAGGGCGCTTACCTCCATCGAGGACAATTGTGATGTTATTGAGCCAGGGGATGCCAATGTCATTCGCGGAGAGGACCTGGAAGCGACCCAACAATCTTGCTCTTTCCAGGCCTTGCCTAATCGCTCCATCTGGAAGTACCCAGCCTGGTTCATGGATCACAAAACAGGTGCCGTGCACGCATCAGAGATTACTACCAAATACCTGCCACAAAAGTTGGTAGGTGTTTATTCTTTTTGGGTAAAGAGAGGAGGGTTCGTGGGCGGGGCCGGGGAGGGGGGGGGAGGGAGGAGGGGTGGAATTCCCTGAGAGCAATGAATGAAACTGGGAAGAACAAAGTCACAAGCACTGTCACACATAGCATTACACAGAGCAATTGGCAACGGCCCTCTTCATGTGAAATGGCATGCTGGGATTCAACATTGGGATTTGAACCCTGGATTCGTCTTCTGGGAAAACTCCTTATCACATAAGTTTTGCTGAGAACAGAATGCATGATAAAAGAAGACTATGACACCACAGTTTGGCACTGGGCTTTGAACGCTGGACCTTTTTCGTTTTCCGCCCAAAACCGAACGGCATGACAAAATCTCAAATTATGACTGTGTTACCAACCGGACCGCCTGGGTCAGCTTGGTTGCCCAGGCAGCCCAGGCGCGCAAGGGCCAGTGTTGCATGCTGCACCTGCACACGGGCCCCATTTTGGGGGCCCGACGGTTGCTGAGGGCCACTAGGCCGGGCGCCCATTCTAGGCACGTGACCGGGAGGCCCACGGCCATGTTGTAGGCCAAGGCACCTTTTTGGTGCCACCCAGGCTCTCGTTTCTCAGCAGTTACTTATTTGTTTATTTATTGCTGACCCTCGCCTGGTTTTATTTTTGTCTGTTGCAGGGCATCGTTTCAGACTTTTTGGCATGTCAGACCAAGGCCACATTTTTGGCCCGGTTCGGTTTTGTCCGGTAGCAGACATTCCCTGCTGCATCAGCAGACATCCGGTAGGGACCCAGGCAGGCCGTTTGTAGGCCAGGCCCAGGAGCAGGACTTTTCACTGTGATCTGGACCATTGATCCGACCCACGATCTCGTGGCCCAGATTGCAGGTCGTGGGCAGTACACTCAGGCCCAGCAGTCTTATAGCTGGGAGAGCCCAGCTTCTGGCCAGACGGAGGAGTCCCCCACCTCTTTGGGACGTCACGCTGTTGGAGCAGAGCGCTACTTTCAGCGTTGAGCTGCATAGAGATAGAGAGAGAGAGAGAGAGAGAGAGAGAGAGAGAGAGAGAGAGAGAGAGAGAGAGAGAGAGAGAGAGAGAGAGAGAGAGACGGTGGACATACGTGTGAGGAGTGAGCAGCTTACCTGGGCGCCATAGCTGGTATCTGCGCGAGCAACCTGCAGTGCAGAGGAGCACGACAGCTTGTTAGTACATGGAGGCAGTTACCTGCAGGTGAGACAGTGGAGAGGACGGGATCTTCTTCTTCTCCCTGTTCTCGCCTCGCTCTTTTTCTTCTTCTTTTTCTTCTTCTTCTTCTTCGAGAGGTTACAGGCAGAGGTTATGTCAGGCTGTGAGACCCAGGATCTGATTCAACGTCATAGCGGCAGACATCGATTGGACATTTGACAGGGAGACTATTTTTGGACTTGCTATCACGGTCTTGGTCTTCTCCCCCATCTCCATCTTCGTCTTGCTCCTCCTCCCTCACCTCATCCGTGGTATCTCCCCATGTGCATGTTCAAGGAGGGACCTTTCTTTCGTGTGTGCGGTAGTAGTACATGGGAAATTTGGGCCCTAAAGGGCCTTTGTATTTGACCGGCCGTCGACCGAAAAAGAGAAGATAGCCATGTTTGACAACGATTTTTTAGCCGTCTTTCCAGAAATCTTTCTTAAGTGCCACTATCTCTCTCACATGTGTGGTGTGTGATGGGTTGAGTCGCGTCAGTATCTGAGGTCAGATCGTATCTTTGAGTCTTCCGCTGCGCCACATTGTGGTATTTTTGTATGCATATGGATGTACATGCCTTGTTGATGCTTCGCTTATGCTGCATTGTCCATTCGAGTCCTTGTCATCACTTTGCTGATCCTTGGCTCCATTTACATCGTTCGACTTTCACCGAGCATGTATCACCCAATCAGCCCCCCTCTCATCTCTTTCTGTGCTTGGCCGCAGACAGCTGTCTTCCTCCGCACCACCTGTGTCTCCTCCGCGGTCCCGCTTGCGACCAGACACCCAATCAGCCCCACTCTCAGCTCTTTCTGTGCTTGGCCGCAGACAGCTGTGTTCCTCCTCACCACCCGCATCTTCTCCATGGTCCCGCTTGCGACCAGACTCTCTATGTTCCCATTGTCCCCGTTGTTCCCATTGTCCCTGTTGTTCCCATTGTTCCACCTCTGTTACCGGAGACATGCTCATCTCCGGTTTGCAACCCCAGTGCTACTTGTATTGTGCATCATTGAAGGCGTGCACCGCATTGTCACTCATCCGTGGATCACTGGCATGTTTCTTTGTCTGCCGTGATTCCTTCTGTGCCTGCTCCACAGGTTGTTGCGGTTCCTTTCTTCCAAATGGCAATATCCGCTCTTATGCCCTTTGCGGACAGTCCAGCTTCCTGCTGGCAGCCACGAGACCATGTTTTATGCCCTGCCGCACTAGATATTTACAAGCCACCTGCACAACAGCATACTGTCCCTACCCACGGTGCTCTGTCAATTCCAGGGGCAGTCCGTACTCAGAATGTAACCAGGGTTGCACACCCCGACCGTCAGCGACCCTTGACTGGTCGGCTGCCGACCCGCCGACCGGTCGGCTGGTCAGAACCTACTGGTCGGCGGTCGTCGGCACCCCACATTTTTTTTTTTTTTGGGGGGGGGGGTCCAGAACCCCTAATAATATCACCAACACCCCCATAGCAGACCCCAATACCCCATATACCACTCCAACAGCCCCGAACAGCGGCCAACACCCTTATTAAACCGTCCATAACCCCCTATATCACCCCTGTACTCCGGCGCATCGCATGCGCGCGAGCTCCGCACGTGCGGCGCCTAGTGCACGTGCAACCATGCGCGCACACCCCAATAAATAGAGTTAAAAAAAGTTTGGGGAGGGCTGGCTGAGGTAGCCAATGGTGCCCCTCCCTTCTAAAATATCNGAGAGAGAGAGAGAGAGAGAGAGAGAGAGAGAGAGAGAGAGAGAGAGAGAGAGAGAGAGAGAGAGAGAGAGAGAGAGAGGTGGCACAGGCAGAGGTTATGTTGGGCTATGAGGCCCAGGATCTGATTCGACATCGTAGCAGCAGACATTGACTGGACATTTGATAGGGAGACTATATTAGTATTTTTGGACTTCACTACCGCGATCTTGGTCTTCTCCCTCATCTCCATCTTCGTCCTGCTCCTCCTCCCTCACCTCATCCATGGTATCTCCCCATGTGTGTGTTCAAGGAGGGACCTTTCTTCTGTGTGTGCAGTCCCTCCCTTCCCTCCCACATGCATGGTGTGTGATGGGTTGATTCGTGGGTGTCCTTGTAAGAAAATTAATGCAGTTGCTCATCTGATCACCGCAGCAACAGGTACGTTGTGAAACATCACCCACCAATATATTATGGAGCCGCATTAGGGTCCAGCCGCCGTAGGCGGAATGAGGGCTTAGTTTAGGCTATCATACGATTTGAGGGGGGGGGGGGGCAGATAGAGCTAAGGTCAGTAGCACAGAGGGGTAGGATAATGGGAGGGTTGGATATGAGGGGTAGGTATGTAACTCTTGGATTGGGGCCTTGAAGCCTATGATTGTGTTGTTGGGGCTTGGGCCCCCACTACTTGAAGCTGGGTAACATACCAGTGCCTGTTCTTTGTCGTTCCGGATTCTTTGTGAGGAATTCCCGGCCTCATTTTAGTCTTCCACTGGAATTCCTTTCTGTTTACCAAAAAGGATTAAAAAAACTTAAAAAAAGAAGTCTTATGTACATCACATTTTGAAACTGTGTTGAGAAATCTGCCAACTGCGATGTCCTGACAGGGGAACGATACTCTCACTCAGTCGAAGCAGTGCATGCCTTGTGGTCGAATGAACGAATGAATGGAACAAATGTGTAACAGTCGATAAACAGATCAAGAATTTGAGTCCTGTTTCTGAGTCAGCAATGCTACCGTCTTCACCCGAATAGAACACCCTGGACTCTCTCAGAGGGCCTTCGTCCTTGCCATTCCTCACTGTGGGTTAGTCCATAGGTATAGTGGGTCCTGTGCCTCTGCTGTAGACATAAGTGGTTTCCCTCATAGATTCTCTGTTGTGTGCTTAGTCATGTAGTTGGTAGCATGAGGTATATTGAGAGAAGAATATAGCTTACTGACCTTTGTTCAAAAAAACAAAAGAATGTCCGTTCACTACTGATTAGTATGGAGTCTATGAACCAATAGTTGCCCCAAATACAGCTATAATGACCAGGCGTCCTAATCTGGTGAAGACGGTACGTGAAAACAGGAGCTGACTGCTTGCAGATGAATGTGGTAATGCACGTGTGTCATCGGCACTAAGACCAGGGCCACTTTCATGAAGACAAAGGTGGTGGGGGATGTTCCAACTGCAGCAAGCCTCATGCGGCCTCAGTCTGTCACTTGAAGTGCAGTCAGTTTTCCAGTCCTAGGGTTCAAACCATGGTAAATGCAGTGGGGCGTCACGGTGGGAACTGCAACACAGTCGCTTACCTTGGCTCCTCAGAATATGGGCAACACAAACAGCTGTGCAGGCATTCTCGACCTGGTGTGCACCGACGAGACCAAGGTTCACGGCGTTTGCAGACCAGCTTCCTCTGCTTTCGACTGCTCCTCGCCCACAAGTGCTGTCTCTACATAAGGCTTGGACCGCCTCCCCGTCGACGAGTGTTTCTAAGCAAGGGACAGCAAAATCGACTGTTTCCTTCAGGGATGGGTTTTTGCTAAGTGCCCTGGGTCCTGCTGCCACCCGAGTGGCAAAGATAAGAGGCTCCCTGGCTAGAGTTAGCAGGCTCTCCTGCGCGTTTGCAACTGAGGCTATTATCCTCTCCACTGGTTCTTCATCTTGCTTTGACAAGACAACCTGGAAAACAAACAACATGATTAATTAAATATTGGCAATAATAGAACACCCAAGTACCTTGTAAGGAAAAAAAAAAGGAACACCCCAGTGTTATGAGCTCTATTGATTCACAACTCAAACCGCATTCAAATGTTCCCATAAACCTCTGCAATGACAGGCAGACTGGAGAGAGCAGATTCACACCATAGCCATGGAGAGATATTGCACAGCGGAAGCCAAAACCAGATATAAAAATTGAGAGAAAAGCCATGGAGAGATATTGCACAGCGGAAGCCAAAACCAGATATAAAAATTGAGAGAAAAATGTTTCAATCAATTACTTATTACACCCCCTGCTCTCCTCTTCTCAATCGACAACTCCTAGAATCTCAACCACGAAATATGTTCCACCTCCAATTAACCCCCAACAATACACTTCAACGAAGTTGCAGTGAAACTTCCCCTTCTCCCTACGACCCCCACCCTCCAATGATAGCCCACTGTTGAAAACAGCATCCCATCATGCCCCGAGCCTGTGAGGACAGGCGCTGATCTGGCATGAGCCAGACATCAAACCGCAGCACCACAAGCCACAGTGAAGAAGAAGATGAACCTCGATGAAGAAGCAGATGGTCACCAGGAAGACCTCCCACAGGTGCTGCCTCCCCAAGTAGTAGGGTGCCCGAGCTATGGCAGCCCACAGCTCCCTGCAGAGGAAGGAGATCGGGCGCTGAAAAATAGCCCAGCTCCCGTAACCCTCGTCACCACTTCCAAAAAAGAAGGGAAAGAACCAAACATTCGTTGACGTCTGCCTACTTTTATCCGACTTCCCTAGATATACAACACAGCAGCCACCTACAGACCTACCTGACCATCCAAACAGCAAACAGCTACGGCCAGACAGTCAAGATCTGCCTACATGCATCTAGATGGAAACCTAGACTAAGGGGACCCAAGGCTAGGACACACAAAAGAGAGACCTACGGGCCTACCAATTTCCAGAAGAGCAGAAAAGGACAAAACAACAAGGCTGAAGGGTCTAAGACCGCCAAACAGAGACAACTAGCGACAGGTTCACGGATCAAGCCCAGTAGGACTCAAAGCTAGTAAACAACACATACAAACTGTAGGTCACGGGATCAAGTCCCACAGGGCTCAGAACAGGGGAATAGCAGACAAACTTAGTGTACAGCCTGCGTGAGCAACTGCAATTCATTGCACCAGTGCCTTTTAAGAAGAAGAAGAAAAAAGAACACCCGAGTAGCTGCCACCCCCTTCCCCCCCAAGAAGACACAAAAGAAAGCAAATGCGAGGATTGAGCCCTCGCAAGGCCCTTCTCGGGCATACACACGTTCTGGACTAGGCCCCCAGCAAGCCTCATGCCCGCCCTAAGTGAAGGCGGGCCTGCATATTCGTGTGAGGCCTACTTTTGCCATTTTTCGTGTGTGGGATATCAGACACTTGCAACACACCAGTTGGTTACAGGGCAACATGAGTCTTCCTGGCTCTTTCCGGAAGCAGCAGCTGCGTCGTACAGTTCAGCCCACGCCTCATTCCGTTCAGGCCCTGGGGACACGCATTCAGAGGCCGACACATCACACCACTGCCGCAGGTCAATGAGAACGCAGCTGCGACGTCCCACATTGGACGCAAGCCAATGAGAACGCAGCAAACACCTCACAGGCTGCGTGGGGTGGTTGGGCATGTCCCGATGCTGCGCCCCCAGGCAACTATCTGCATGGGCCTGGGCGCAGACATTTGGCCAAACACGAAGCTACTGGGCCCCAGCCCGGCAGGCCCAAGCAGAGACCAAAGCAGGAGCGTTTTCCATAAAGGAAAGTGCCCACCCCAGCTCCAGCCATTCTGGTCTGGCGAGGCATAGCAGCCACGCTGCTGCATTACCTTGTGAAGCTGCGCCATTGCAAGCCAGCCAGAGGTGCACGCGGGCGCTAAGAGGTGAGAGGGGCGCTGCGTGGCAGTGGGCGCACAGCGGCCATAGCCGGGCTGCTGGGTGCAAGGCAGGTGACGGCGATGATGGTCTTCGGGTAGGAGGCGCATGCAGAGGGGAGTCAGGGATGATGAGGGGAGGAGTGTGACACGTACCTGGTGTATGCTGGCAGTCTACATTGGCAACAGCGTCACGTACATTGGTCTTCAGCTTCGAAGTAATTCCTGTTGCATGAACGTAGGCTAGGCTAGATAGGCTGAGTAGAGTAGGCTGGGCGCTGAGCGCCGTTCTGAATGAGCAACATTGGATACTAGTGTGGCCAGAGAGTGTCGACATTGACATTGGGTTCATTGTATTGCTCTTATTCGGATGGTATCTTGGTTCATTGTGCTCGCTGCTTGGTACATATGCAATGACTTGCTGTTTTCTGGTCGCCTGTAGCCACTCTCTGTCGAGGCTGTACCATAGGTAGGGTAGATTCGTAATTTTGTTTGGCAGAGGGCTAACCGAGAGACCTACCTGTAGTGGAAATTCGTGAGGGACATACCTGCAAATTTGGGAAAAATACAGGCCTAACGCTAACCGAATTTCCAACTGCTACCCTAACTGCGAATAGCAGGCCCGGGCTACCCCTAGGACAGAGAGACCCTAAGGGCCTATTGTGGCATACTGCGTAGCCACACGGGCCCTGTAGGACCCGTCCCGGACATTCAGCCTAAAAGCCTAAAACTTAGGATCTACAGGCCCCGGTCGTTTCAGCCTGAAAACTGAAAAACGAGGGCCTGCAGGCCCTACTCCGTTTCAGCCTATTTCTGGGTCTTTCAGACCCAGAGTTTTTCCAGCCTGAAACGGAGGGCTATTCTTAGGCCCTGGGCTATTTTTAGGCCCTCAGGAGCTGCAGCTGCAGCCCCTGCCTCCCTGCGGCATTATTGGCAAGAGCACGAGCAGGAGCTGCAGCTGCAGCCCCTGCCTCCCTTCGCCATTATTGGCAAGAGCACGAGCAGGAGCTGCAGCTGCAGCCCCTGCCTCACTTCGGCATTTTTGGCAAGAGCACGAGCAGGAGCTGCAGCTGCAGCCCCTGCCTCCCTTCCGCATTATTGGCAAGAGCAGCCTCCTGGACTGCTCGCCCGAGTCAGGAGGCACCCGTGATAGTACATAGGAGCTTCAGGC